TATATATATTGTTTATAGAAATAGCAGTTCAGCATTAAAGACTTTATGTGTTGTCATTTAAATATGTAGGAACTAAACATCTCATTTGTATTTTAAAAAATACATGTAAAATTAATTTATGTCCTCTGCTGATATGTGTGTGGGTTAAATGCACGTTTCACCTTGTGTTATAATAAGTGTGTTTAGCTGACATGTTGTATGTTTCCTCTGCCTCTGTCTGCAGGTGAGGTGAGCATGCAGCAGGCATGCGTGCTGCTTCTGCAGGACGTGTTTGCAGTGAAGGTGAAGCGGCGGCGAGCGGCTGGTCAGCAGTCAGGGGGAGCCGTGCTCGGCCTGGCTCTCTTCTGCTGCAGAAGGAGAGAGAAGAGGCTGGAGGAGGACACAGTGCACCTCCACAATGCCTCCTCAGAGCACACACACACTTGGTATAACAAGCTGAAAGAACTGCTTACAGGTAACAGATTTAAACTAATATGAAGTTTGAATAGTAATCACAAAAAATATAATTTTTATGTGATCTTGTCTGTTTTGAAATTATAATTTCCTTAATAACCCAGAAGTTTTTAAGTGCTACTTTTGGTAACTTTGCTAAAAATATAAAACCTAAACCAGGGATGGTCAACCTAAATGATGGAAGAGCTCACATTTTTTGTTGACAGTACCACAGAACCACGTAGTACTACACACTTACCAAAATGTAATAATGTATACGGCTATACTAGCTTTTTCAGTATATTTCTCATATTTAGCTTTGTGCAATGTGTTGCATTTATGACTTATWTTAAAATCCTTCATGGCAGACATTGCAGTCTTTCCCTACAAGCCCTGGGGGTGGCCGCTCTATGAGCAGCCAGATCGGTTGACGACAACGTGCCCCGTGCTGTGCGCCCACCCCAGGGTAGAGCGAATCAAAACCAGTGTTTTTGGTTRCTTGTTTTTCCATTGTTTCTGTGTTTCCCTGTGTTTCTCTGCCCTGCAGCCCCGCCCTCACTCACCTGTTTCCTCTTGTGTCAGCTTCAGGTGTTTCTCATTGTCCTCATTAGTTTCCTTTCATATTCAGTGTCTTGTCTTGTGTTTGTCCGATCATTGGGCCTCATGCAAGAACCGTTGGTACGCACAGATTTGTTCTTAAATTGTGCGTACGAGTGATTTAGGAGAATTTGTGACATTCACCAATGTTTTCATATTCTAAGATTTTTTTCAGATACGAACAAAATTTACGAGTGGTCCAGACCTGTCATATATTTTACGTATGTATTGTACGTATATTTACGTACGGTGCGCAGCGC